TCTCCCTCCACCCTTTCCCCCAGGCAACCACTTATTGGCTTAATGTCACAGGAGATTAGTTTAATTTTCTAGAATTTTATATAAATGGAAATATACCATATATAGAAGTGTGTCTGTCTTCTTTCACTTAGCAGTCATTTTGAAGCCCATAACATTGTTATGCATCAGTAGTCCATTCCTTTTTAAGGCTGAGTAATATTCCATCGTGTAAATATACCACAGGTGGTTTATTCATTCATGTGTTCATAGACACGCGGGACATTACTACTTTTCAGCTATTTTCAAATAAAGCTGGTATGAACAACTTTGTACGGTTGGAAAGAAGTTTTCATTTATTTGTGATAAATGTCAAAGAGTGCATTGCTCTTTAGGTAAGTATAGCTTTAACTTTTCAGAAAACTGCCACACTGTTTTCTTAAGTGGTTGTACAGTTTTACTTCCTCACCACAAGTGTATGAGAATTATAATTGCTCCACATTCTTTCTTGAAACTTCTTGTGGTCAGAATTCTTTTAGCCATTCTATTGGATATGTAGCGGTATCTCATTGTGGCTGTAGTTTGCATTTTCTGGGTAACAGTGGTATCAAGCATCTTTTCATTTGCTTATCTTTTGTTGAAGATATCTTTAAGATAGGGGTGGCAAATTCTCTGGCCACCCCTATCTTTTGTTGAAGTATCTCTTTAAACATTTTGCCCACTTAAAAAATTGAATTTCAAGCATTGTAGAAAGCAGTATGACAGTACCTCAAAGAGCTAAAAGCAGAACTACCATTTGACACAGCAATCCTATTACTGGTTATATATTCAGAGGAATATAAATCATTCTACCATAAAGACATATGCACTCAGATGTTCATTGCAGCACTATTCATAATAGTAAAGGCATGGAATCAACCTAAATGCCCATTAATGACAGATTGGATAAAGAAAATGTGATACAGACTAGGTGCAGTGGCTCAGACCTGTAATCCCAGCATTTTGAAAGGCTGAGGCAGGAAGAAAGAAACAGGAAATGTGGTACATATACACCATGGAATACTATGCAGCCATAAAATAGAACAAGATCATGTCTTTTGTGAGAACATGGATGGAGCTGGAGGCTATTATCCTTAGCAACTAATGCAGAAACAAAAAAAAAGCAAATACCACATGTTCTCACTTATAAGTGGGAGCTAAATGGTGAGAGCTCATGAACACAGAGAAGGGAACAAGAGACACTGGAGGTACATGAGGGTGGAGGGTGGGAGGAGGGAGAGAAGTAGACAAAATAATTATTGTGTACTAGGCTTAATACCTGAGTGATAAAAAAAAAAAATCTGTACAACAAACCCCTATGACAAACCTGCACATGGACTCCAAACCTATTTTATCTAAAAAGATAAATTTTATCTTTAAAAAAGATAAATTAATTAAAAATAAAGAACTAAAAAGAAAATATTTCCTGCTATAGAATGCACTGTTATTCTGATCACATCAACTATCAACATAATTTTAGTCATTATAATTAACCCAATAATTAATTTATGGATTAATAAATCCTAAATCTATTTTATATAGACATTTGTTATATCTGTATTAAAAAAGCAAATAATTTTACTTTATATGTGAAGATAACAATAACTTAAGTTCAAAAGATATATACATTTAGAAGAAAAATAAAAAGTCTAGAGAATATCACAATATTTGATAGCATAACTAACTTTCATGTAAAAACAAAAAAAAATTGAATTTAAATTCTAGTCTGCTCAAATTTTGTCTCTTGCAAGGCTGCAAAATAGGTTTTCCTTCGAACAAAAACGAATTATCTGTTTGTGAGGTTGCAAATATATTATTCACTTGACCACATCTCTACCTGTTTCCTCTTAAAAAGTAGTTTCTCATAGTATCAGTCTATCCATTTAAATCTTAGACATTCTAAGATTGTACTTACATTTCTCTTGTAACTAGTTTTTGGTAAGAAGAGATCTGTAATAAACCCCATTGAACTTTATCTTCTCTAGAGAATATGTAGTACTTTAGGTAACAAGGGTATATGTGCAAGGCTAGAAAACAACCACTTACGGTGTGTCGTAAGTACTTTATAGATAATGCATCTTATGGGAATTTTGAGCACCATCAAGACGTTTGTGTATTTAAGAAAATATTTTACAATGGTGACATTGATTTCAAGAAAAGGAAGGAAATGAGGCAGTTCGATAAACATCAGTTACTATAAGTAAGTGAAATTTTTTCTCTTTTTCTTTCTTTTTTTTTTTTTTTTTTGCTTTACCACTTAAAGAGCAACTGATAGCTAACTTGGATTGTTATTTTTCTAATTATAGATTGACAAGAAAGTATACTTTTATCTGACTGTATTTAATTAGAGAATTTACGAGTTAATCTTTGTAGTCAAAGCAAGATATAGTTCCAATAGAAAATAAATTGTTTATCCTATGCAATTTTTTATCAGATTACATAGCATTTTCTTAGAAAGGAACAAATCCGTGTTCTGATATCCTTTTGAATGGGAAAAAAATCTCTTTAATAAAAAGGAAATCTGCTTACACCTGTCAGTGCTTTTAAAAAAACTTTATCTAGTGTTTTATTAATCTGGAATGACAAATTGGACCTGTATTTATTTTTATTTGCTCATCCTTTTCCAACGAATGCCATGACTCAGATGCTCATATTAAAATCTTTGGAAAGCCACATCTCATGTGCCATTGTATGAGTGAAACTAAATGCAAGTCTGTGCTTTTGGAAGTAAATTTTCTAATTAGTGCCCTGAATCCATGGAAAAAAAATGGAGATATTTCACAGCAATTCAGAGCAAAAGCTTCCTTTCTTGTGTCTTTAAACAGAATTAGAGATGGTGCAGCAAAATCTGTGGTGATGCCATGATGAGCTTGCACCCTCACTACTACCCATTCCCTGGCTCCCATTCACTTCAAAGAAATCTCTAGGGCAGTCATTTTCAAAGTATGATTCCTGGACCAGCAGCATGGGTCTCAACAGGGAAGTCATGTGAAATGCAAATTCTCTGGCCCTACTCCACACCTGCTGAATCAGAAACTTAAATTGGAAGGCACGAATGGGAGTGGGGGTGCAGCAATCTATGTTTTAACAAGGCTTTTAGGTGATTCTGAAGCAGACAAGTTTGAGAGCCACTGGTCTAGGGGAGTGAAGTAAGTTGTGAATACAGACCTATATAAAATTTATTTCTTACAGCTTCAAGCTGAAAGGTTTATTACCAGGTTGCTGTAGCAACAACTGCACAGTAGGATTGGATAATGAAACATTGTGAAATTAAGAGGCATGAATATTAGCTGATCCCAATATTCTAGATTGCTAAAATTTATATTGGGCAAAATGGATTTTTACTTTTAGCCTTATGGCAAGAAGAAGCATGGTTTCATAAAATTTTCTGTTTGACAAGTGGAAACCAGGACTATTTTTTTGAATACCACTCCTTTGGAATTTAGCCAAGTTTTTGTAGAAAAAGGGAATTACCCTTAAAGACATTCATCATGGAAGTCAAAAAGTAACATACTCAGCAGTGACTTATAACCCTGAAAGAGTTAATTTTTAATTGAATTTTTCTAATACATTATAGTAGCTTTATTTGCCTACTATATGTTTCAAAAGTGCAGTGCTAGGCATGTAGTGATATTAAATAAACAGAAAGAATTGGTTTGTTAAACTCTTATTTGGTAATTACATGCCACAAAAATAGCTATTTTTAAAATGTATTCATATTATGCTTGCTTTCCTCTAGTGTATGGTCTAAAATCCAGTACTTTCTGTATTCAAAGAATTAAATTCATGTTAGAGTTTGCATTTTATTGATATGTGCTAAGGATTAGATGCACTCAGTTAAGCTCCTTCCCAGCCAAATGACATACCCTGTCTCTGATGTCAGTCTGAGAAAATCCTATATAGTGTACTACATCTCCGGATTACCTTATCTAAGTATTACATGGACATTTCAGATGATATGTCTTGGCATGTGGTCATTTTTCATTAACTTATTAGGAATTGTTAAAGCATCTTTTCCCCTTTTTGACACCTTGCTATAATTGAATGTAAAATTGACTGTAAGACTGAATGCCTGATATTCATGCAGTAAGCTGTTGGGGCATCGTTGGTGTCCAGCAGAAACCATGCCTAGATGGGTGTTTTAGGAAAAAGGGCTCTGTTGCTATCTGATGTGAGATATGGACAAATAACATCTATCCTCTGGAGTTTATTTTCCTCAACTATAAAAAGAAGGAATTCATTGCATCATCTTCAAGGTTCTGAAATGTTTATAGTTCTAAGATCCAGGGGGAAAGGAGAGGAAATCCAATCTATGAACCACTGCCAAGGTACAATATATGACTAAAATTTTTTAGCTATTTGTTGAAAAAAATGAATTAAACAGAATAATTAGCATTAAGTCAGCCTTGAACTCTTAAAATCAATGGGAAATAATGATATTAGATACTGATGATTTAGAGTTTAAATTAACATGTTTTAGGAAAAATACTTTAGAAAAGTGCATTCGAACTTAATTCTTTTTTCTCAGTTTTCACATTAAATTATTTATTCTTAAATCCAGTGTGTGTGGAATACTTAGAAAAGCAAATAATTTTAATATTTTAAGCATAGGTATGCTCTGTACATCATATGTATTCTTCCTAGAAAAGAAATATCTTTTAAAGGACAGCTCTCTACACTTTATACTCCTCTGCACTCACTTATTTCATTACATTTTGTGAAACCTAAAATTGTAGCTATAAAGCTATTTTGGGCCCGCTTTTTCCAGAACCTTGTAAGAATCAACAGGAGCATAATTTTAAGCTACAGAAGTGCAAAATAAGCACAGAGTCCTAGCTACCATAAATAAAAGGCCAGAATTCTAACTTTGCAAAAACACATAATTACTACCAATGGGGGAGGGGGAAATGAGGACAAAAAGGAGAATTTTCTGGGGGATTACTTCATACTTCTAAACATTTTCTCTGAACTTTGTTTCTTCTCAGAGATGGAATTCTGCGAAACCTCTCACACTCTGTGCTCTGGCTACCAAACAGACATGCACAGCGTTTCCCGGCATGGCTACCAGCTAGAGATGGGATCTGATGTGGACACAGAGACAGAGGGTGCTGCCTCACCTGACCATGCACTAAGAATGTGGATACGGGGAATGAAATCAGAGCATAGCTCCTGTTTGTCCAGCCGGGCCAACTCTGCATTGTCCTTGACTGACACTGACCATGAAAGGAAGTCTGATGGGGAAAATGGTAATAAACTACTTGCATTGTTTAAGTAAAACACAGAAAGAATGCAGTTTTTAGCCTTTGCTTTGTTCTCCTTCCCTATATCTGCCCTTCTTTCATTCAATATGCAGAATGGAAATACAACTTAGCAGGGACTCAGGGACAAGGCACGTACCTAAGTATCTGGCAAATAGATATTTATTTATAATAACAGACAAAATACTTTTCATTTTTGGCCAGCTCCCAAGGGAAATAATCCCAGGTAATCAGTAATGTGCATGTTTTGTTTATTACTCACCTTTTATATTCATCTTTATTTTCCACCGCAATATTAGTGGGATTTATTATAAAATATATAAATGTTATGTATTTGGGCTTTATATCAATATATGAACAGTGAGATGAACGATTGTACAATAAGCATATTCTATATGTGCTTACTATTTGGATTCAGATTAACCTGTTGAATGTACAAATTTAAATTTATCAGGTTGGACTGAAATAATTTTAAAAAAACAGAAGGTGAATTAACATCATCCATTTGCTTGACAATAACGACTAGCAGCAGTATCATTATGTTGTAATCATATACGATTTTTTTGCAAGTTTTATAAAAGGAAACGTTTTGTCTTTTTGATTTGTTGGAAAGGGTTTAATTTATTTTATTTCTGTTCTTCTGCTCCTACCAGAGAACAAAATCTTTCCATAAAAAGCACATGAATGCTTATTAAGCACATTAATCTGGTGTCTCCATCGTTCTGTTTATGTAAATTTTGTAGGTCCCCATCACCATGACCACAACGCTTAGTCTGTTAACAGTGGTAATTAGTAATTTTTCAGGTGGCAGAGAGATCACCAGCTGTCCTGTGCCTGCAGTTGTTTTTTTTTTTTTTTTTTTTTTTTTTTCTATTTTGTCTTCTTCTGCCTCCTTTAACCCAAAGGTGACGCTGGCCATATAATCAGGAATGAGAGGTTACCTACTAGTTAGAATATCACTTCCTAAATAATAGACCATAACACTTTATAATATCACCAAGTATCCCTGGGATCTTGATTTTTTAAATTATTTTCATATATGTATGTGTTCATGTATGCATTGTTGACTTTGGCCAAGCATATAGGAAGTAACGTGTGGAAATGAGAAGGGAACATACTTGATATATGTAGCATATTCATGTAAGTGAAAAGCATTAGGATACAAGTTAGGAGACCTTTGGTCACAGCAGTTTTCTGGGTTTCATCTGTCAATTGGGAAAAACAATGACCAAAATTATATGAAATGGGGTGGTAGGTGATCTCTTATACTGCCAAGACATCTTGTTTTCCCTCGTCTCACTCTGGACATATTCACTGGGTTGAAACATTAAAATGAAAGAAAGAAGTTTCCCCACTGGGCTCTACTATTCTTTTTGTGTGTGTGTGAAATGATTACTACAATCAAATTTATTAACATATTTGTCACTACACATAGTTTACCATTTGTGTGTGTGTGGTAAGAACACTTAAGATTGGTGCTAGCCAATTTTAAATATATGATACAGTATTATTAACTGTAGTCAACCATGCTGTATCTTAGGTCTCCAGAAATTACTGATTCTGCATGACAAAAACTCTGTAATTTTTGATCAACATCTCTACATTCCCTCCTCCTATAGCCTCTGGCAACCACCATTCTACTTTCTACTTTCATGAGTTTAACTGTTTTAAATTCCTTGTATAACAGAGATAATGCAGTATTTATCTTTTTGTGCCTGGCTTATTTTACTTAAAAATATTCTCCAGGTTCATTCCTTTTGTCACAAAGAATGAGATTTCCTTCTTAAAGGCTGAATAATATTTAATTTTATCTATGTATCTATCTACATTATATACAAATAAATATATACAATTGGGCCTTTGTAGCTGTGGATTCTGCATCCATGGATTCAAGCAATCACATATTAAAAATACCAAAAACTAAACAAATGAACCAAAAAAGCTGCATCTGTATTGAAGATGTACAGACTTTTTTCTTGCCATTATTCCCTAAAAATACAGTATAATAACTATATACATAATGATAGATATTTTCAGTAATCTAAAGATGATTTAAAGTATATGGGAGGATGCACATAGATTTTATGCAAATGGTACACTATTTCATATCAGGTACTTGAGCATCCATAGATTTTGGTATCCATGGGAAGTACTGGAACCTCTCCCCAAACAACTGTGGAATGACTGATAACATACAATTTATAAAAATATAATGGAATATTATTTCTACATAAATAGATAGAAAGATAGATAAACAGATACCTGGTTTGGATATTTGTCTTCTCCAAATCTCATGTTGAAATTAGACTCCCAATGTTGGAGGTGAGGCCCAGTGGGAGGTATTTGGGTCATGAGGGTGAATCCTTCATGAACGGCTTGATGCCATTTCAGGTAATGAGTGACTTCTTGCTCCATTAGTTCACATGAGAACTGGTGTTTAAAAAAGCATGACACCTCACCTCATCTCTTGCACCCTCTCTTGCCACGTGACATGCCTGTATCCCCTTTGCCTTCTGCCATGATTGGAGGTTCCCTGAAACTCTCAACAGAAGCAGATGCTTCTTGTACAGTCTGCAGAACCATGAACCAAATAAAGGTCTTTCCTATAAATTATCCAACCTCAGCTATTCCTTTATAGGAACACAACAAGGTCTAAAACTATGTATATATGTAAAATTATGTTACCCATTTTTGTTATGAGTCATTTGAGTTTCTTATACATTTTGGATATTAAGCCCTTATCAGATGTATTGTTTCCAAATATGTTCTCTCATTTTATATGTTGTCTCTTCACTATGTTATTGTTTTTTGCTGTACAAAAGCCTTTTAGTTTGATGTAATCCCATTTGTCCATTTTTGCTTTTGTTGCCTATGCTTTTTTTTTTTTTAATTGTACTTTAGGTTCTGGGGTATATGTGCAGAACATGCAGGATTGTTGCATCGGTACACACATGGCAATATGGTTTGCTGCCTCCATCTGCCCATCACCTACATCTAGCATTTCTCCCCATGTTATCCCTCCCCAACCTCCCCACCACCCCCCGCTGTCCCTTCCTTGCCCCTGTCAACAGACCCCAGTGTGTGATGCTCCCCTCCCTGTGTCCATATGTTCTCATTGTTCAACACCAGCCTATGAGTGAGAACATGCATTGTTTGATTTTCTGTTCTTGTGTCAGTTTGCTGAGAATGATGCTTTCCAGATTCATCCATGTCCCTACAAAGGACATGAACTCATCGTTTTTTATGGCTGCATAGTATTCCATGGTGTATATGTGCCACATTTTGCTTGTCCAGTCCATCGTCAATGGGCATTTGGGCTGGTTCCAGGTATTTGCTATTGTAAAAAGTGCCACTATGAACATATGTGTGCATGGCTCTACTATTCTTCTACCTCTGCAAGTCCCTTAGTATGAGGTATCTTTTGGGGTGATGAAAATATTCCAGAATAAGATAGATGATGATTGTATAACTGTGAAAATACTAAAAAACACTGAATTGTATGTGTTAAAAGGACGAATATCATGTATGTGAATTATATTGCAATTAAGCTGTTTTTTAAGTAACCACTAGATGAAGGGTAAGGGTTGAAGTTTGAGGAATTGCAGATAACTTGGAGAAGCCTTAAATAGTAAAATGTTTACTGTTGCAGGTTTCAAATTCTCTCCTGTTTGCTGTGACATGGAGGCTCAAGCTGGGTCTACTCAAGGCAAGTGTTTTCAAATATTTGATCACATATTATTTTTACTTCACCCCATCTCTGGCACCTACCCCCAAAAATGAAACCCTGCTTCTCTGACAAACAACACACAAGGCTGCTCAAGGAAACTGTCAGAGAATACAGTGGCAACTTGTTTGTTTTCTTCTTGAACATTTCATGTGTAAATGTTGGTGGTGAAGAGGAGGTGAAGGGGGAGCTAGGGAGAAGGATAAGACAGGATTCCAGGCAGGATGAGAAAACAGTTATTCAACCTGGGAGGAGAGATTGAAATCAGGTTGGGTTGGATTTGGCTTTATGACTTTCTACATATCTACCATGCTTTACATGGCTCTAATCATTAACTCCATATATTTTAGGTATTGTCATAACTTTCAGATGCTGTTTAGCAATTGGCTTTGGTCTCTTCCTCCACCTGTTTATGCTTGGCTTTATAATCACACTTTATCCATGTCATCAAACATAAATAGTACCTTCAAATTAAAAAAATGTTCATTCTCTTCTGTATACCTATATTTTCACTGTTATTCCTTAGTAAGGGGGCATTGGTGTTCTTTTACTTTTGCCTTCATTGTGTTCATTGGGTTTTGCCCCTTTGGAGAGGGATACTACTGAAAGTAACATTTATAAATTGTTTTCACAACTCGGCCTGTCCTGGGCCCTTCTCTAACACCTCGTAGAAGGGTCTCCACGTTTCACCACAAGGCAATGACTCAACAATGGGATGGAGCTGAGGTAGAAGAATGGCTTGAACATGGTAGGCCAAGGTTACCGTGAGCTGAGATCCTGCCATTGCACTCCAGCCTGGGTGACAAAGTGAGACTCCGTCTCAAAAAAAAAAAAAAGGATGGAGCTAGTATATAAAAATTAGAATAGAACAGTGTTTTTAACATGTAGGAACAATATGAATGTTCACTGTTATTATTGGATCAGCATTTCAAAATTTCCAAATATACTTTTCATATCTTTATCCCATTTCATCCTTACACCACTCTGTGAAACAAATTCTACTATTATCTCTATTTTACATATGAGGAAGTGTTAAAACAACAATTCAGAAACAATCTAGCTAAATGCAATGGATTTTTTTTTCCAAATATCCATTGCTTTCTCCCTTGGATCATATATGTATGCAATATGTGAACTTGAACAACTTTTCCCTGTTCAGTTCTGTATGTCTTACTTTGACTTATACTAATATTTTCAATGAGGAGTTTATAATTTGGGTTCTTATTTATCACCTATGCTAAGATTTTACCAGTGTGAATTCCACAAATTTTAATTGATGACAGCATTTCCATAGATTCATGAAGAGGTGGTTTGAGTTAAGGTAAGAGTGTAAATGGCTTTTCCAAAAGCACATTAATTTGAGGAAACAAGTTATTTCCAATGAATGAACTTGGCATTTGTATGAAAATGTTGCTATTTATTTCCTATTGATTTCATCCATTCACGAAAGCATGCTTATCAGGGCATCTATTTCATTAATTTGAGTTTACATATGTTATATTTGAAAAAGTAAAACTACTTAGAATATTTTTATGTATATGTTTCACTACCTCAGACTCCATCCCATCCCATCCCTGTGCCTCAATTAATGTAAGTGACGTTTCGTTTTGTTTCTGTCTTCCCATACTTTCTGAATTTTAGATTGTTGATGAGGCAATGGGCATGATATCATAGATCAGCTTAGGAACATTTGAGCCTCACTGCTGTGAATGTTAGATAAAAGTGAAGATAGGGGAAATTGTTAATTTAGGTGAATTGTCCAACTGAGAAAATTCTGAGAAGTAATTTCAAAGATGCTTACTATTCTGTTCATCCTAGGAGAATATGACTTTGGTTTTCTACTTACATTTCAAAAATCATATCTATAAAGACGTATTTCATTAATTGGCCAAGTCTTTCAGATTTTTTTTCTCATTTCCTTAACTGTTTGGTTGCCCTTAATTGAATTTGTGTCTCTGACATTTTATAACTCATGAAGTTTATAACACCTTGTGGAAGGGTCTGCACATTTCACCGCAAGGCAATGACTCAACAATGAGATGGAGCTGAGGCAGAAGAATGGCTTGAACCTGGGAGGCCGAGGTTGCCATGAGCTGAGATCGTGCCATTGCACTCCAGCCTGGGTGACAAAGTGAGACTCCATCTCAAAAAAAAAAAAAAAAGGGATGGAACTAGTATATAAAAATTAGAATAGAACAGTGCAAGAAATAACCCTTAATTTCAGAACTAAAACACTTCAACTTAAAGCCCTAAAGTGCTGGAAAGGAAAACCATCGGGTGACAGAAGGGGATCTGGAGGTTTTCACAGAGGTAGAAGGACGCTAATGCATTATGTTTCCGTTCTCTCAAATTTGTCCTAAGTAAACCCTTTATCATCTGTTGATGCCGAATTGTCTATTAAGAAAAATGTAGATTCACTCAAGTTAGCTTCATTTTGGGACCTGGGAACAGTCAATACCTAGGTAATACTTTTATATCATCCATCATGCTTTATTCTACCTCTTTTCCATTCCCATTTCGCCTTACTAACAACATTGCTACTCATCATAGGTTAATACTAGAGTTGTGTATTTTATATCCTAACAGTGGTTGTTAATAAGTGCTAGACTGGAAGCTACTTGAAGAAAGGGTCTGATTTATTCACTTTTGTAGCTTCAGTACTTAGCAAGGGGACCTAGAGCACAGCAGGCACTAAATAAATGAAAACTATGCATTGCTATAAGGGTAAAATATATTTTTTGTGGATCTTGTCTGATCTTGTGTGACTCTTCTAAGGATAGAAGTGTTACAGTGTGTCAGACCTCTGCTCATCTAACATATAACTCTATCTCTGACAGGTGATCTAATGGGCATTTAATTATTTTAATTATGGGTACATAGTAGGTATACATATTTATGGGTACCTGTGATGTTTTGATACAGGCATACAATGTGTAATCAGAGCATCCATCACCTCAAGCATTTATCATTTCTTTGTTAAGAACATTCCAATTCCACTATTTCAGTTATTTTTAAATATGTAAGTTAACATTGACTACGGTCACCCTGTTGTGCTATCAAACACTAGATCTTATTCATTCTCCCTAGCTATATTTGTGCACTTATTAACCATCCTTACCTTTCCCCCAACTTCCCTCTACCCTCTTCAGCCTCTGGGCACCATCCATCTACTCTCTATCTTCATAAGTTCAATTGTTTTGATTTTTAGCTCCCACAAATCAATAAGAACATGTGAACTTTGTCTTTCTGTGCCTGACTTATTTCACTTGACATAATATCCTCCAATTCCATTCATGTTGTTGCAAATGACAAGATTTCATTCTTTTAATGGCTGGATAACATTATGTTATATACATGTGCTATATTTTCTTTATCCATTCATCTGTTGATGGACATTTAGGTTGCTTCCATGTCTTGGCTACTATAAATAGTACGATGATATATTTCCTTTCTTTTGTGTATATACTTAGTAGTGGGATTGCTAGAGCATATGGTAGTTCTATTTTTAGGTTTTTTTTTTTAGGGTACCTCCATACTGTTCTTCATGGTGACTATACTAAATTATATTCCCACCAACAGTGTATAAGGGTTCCCATTTCTCCACATCCTAGCCAGCATTTGTTATTGCCTGCCATTTCGGTAAAAGCCATGGTAACTGGGGTGAGGTGATATCTCATTGTAGTTTTGATTTGTATTTCTCTGATGGTTAATGATGTTGAGCATTTTGTCATATACCCGTTGGCCATTCATGTTTCTTCTTTTGAGAAATGTCTATTTTTTTGCCCATTTTAAAATCAGATTATTTGATTTTTTCCTATTGAATTGTTTGAGCTTCTTATATATTCTGGTAATTAATCCTTCATCACAAATTATCCTTTATTTGTGACTAGTCTGCAGATACTTTCTTTCATTCTGTGGGTTTCTCTTCA